AGTAAAAATATTGAATGTTCATCTTCATATATAGATATTTATGCATAAATTATGTGTGCATACAATTTTATTATATACCTTATAAAATGTTTCCTCCAAAATAGAAGGTTAAAAAGAATGAACAACAACAACAAAAAATACAATAGGGTTTGGCCAGTGCGGCTCGGTTGGCTGAGTGTCATCCTGTTCACCAGGAGGCTGCTTGTTGGATTCCTGGTCAGGGCACATGTCCGGGTTGCCGACTCCATCCCCAGTAGGGGTTCTGCAGGAGGCAGCTGAGTGATGTTTCTCTCTCATCAGTGTTTCTATCTCTCTCTTTCTCTCCCTTCCTCTCTCTGAAATCAATTTAAAAATGTATTTTAAAAATACAATAGAAGCTCTGTTATGTTCTGTGCTCTAGTTGGCGTCGCTGGACGCTACTGCTTTAGAAAATGGATTTTTTAAAAAGGATTTGAGGAAAGAGCATAGAGATTGATCTTGGGGTTATTTTGGCTGCAGGAACCTTTAAAAAAAATTTTTTCTTTATTGATTTCAGAGATAGATAGAAACATCGATAAGATAGAACATTGATTGGCTGCCTCCTGCATGCCCCCCACTGGGGATCAGACCGACAACCTGGGCATGTGCCCTGACCAGGAATCAAACCGGTGACCTCTTGGTGCATGGATCAACGCTCAACCACTGAGCCACACCAGCTGGGTGGCTATGGGAACTTTTAAAATTCCAGTTGTCATCTTTATTTAGTGAAAACTGGGTCACACAGGGCAGTCAGTGAGGGAGTGCCTTTATGTGGAAGGCTCGCTGTCCTCTCTGTGCTGGGGCTCAGTGTAGAAGGTACCATGTGTAGCACCAGAGGATAACAAGGGGAGTAAGACACATCTTAATCCTCGTATCAGAAAGCTCATCTTCCAGGCCAGACTCTGGTGCAGTGCAGGAGAAGGGAGTCTAAAGTACAGACTTCGCATAGTGCCCAGGCCTGCTCCCAGGGTCCTCTCTCTGGCATCCCCGTTCTGATCTAGTGAGCTGCTGGGGGAGGGGAGGCAGAGGAAAGGGTCTGGTTGAGGGTATGTGTAGTATTATAAAGGTATTTGATGGGAACGCTAAAGGAGGCATGGCTTTATCTGGACTCTTCTGAGACTCCTTCCCCACCCTCCAGTCTATGTAGCCGTAGATTGACTTGAGCCCTGAGGGCCCACATGGGTGCAAATCTTGCTCCTTGGTGACTCAGACAGCATCACACTGTTATCTACCTGGTAGCTATGGTACATTTGGTGCTCAAGAATACAGCCAGGTGCTATAAAACCCCAATTATAAAATTTAGTTTTTAAACTTAATAATCAAAAGAAAAGTTGCTTAATAAATTAACAGTAAAGCAATCAAGCCATTCCATAATAGAAAGAAGGTCACATATTGAGTTTACAGAGCTCAAAAGAGTCATATAATTTCATGAAATTAAATTAAGATTTTTTTTTTTTGTATGTGCCCCTAGTGGGAACTGAACCCGGGACTCTCTGGTCCGCAGTCCAATGCTCCACCCTCTGAGCCAAACTGGCCAGGGCTAAATTAAGATTTTAAAATAATCTGGCTGGTGTGGCTCAGTGGATTGAGCGTCGTCCCATGGACTGAGAGGTCCCAGTTTGTTTCCTGATCAGGGCACAGGCCCAGGTTGCCAGCTCGATCCCCAGTAGAGGGAATGCAGGAGGCAGCTGATCCGTGTTTCTCTCTCACATTGATGTTTCTATCTCTCCCTTCTCTCTTAAAAAAAAAAATCAATAAAAACATAAAGTAAGGTGAACTGGTCAAATAAGTATTGTCACGGAATGGAAAGCAGGAAGACAACGACCCTAGTGTCACATTTCGTGTTTGCCCACTGTGCGCCAGGACTTACTGCCTTCCAAAGCTAAGGCCAAGGTTTCCATGGTATGTGATTTGGGCAGATATGATTTGACCTTTCACTTCCCCAAACGTCAAGTAACCATAACTGAATCTAATAGAAATTATGTTGGAATTTGAGAAAATCTAGTCAGCAATTCTCTCTATAAAGGCAGAATGCTTTTTCCATTCTGAAAATATCATATGCTCAATTAGAAAGTGTAGAAGAACAGAAAGGAATCACCCATCTTTTCATTGCAAAAGAAAGCCACCGTGAACATACTTCCCAGCCTAATTTCCCAACGTGTGGGCGCCTTCAAATGAGGAGGATGCTTAGCCAGAGTCACTGTGTGAGGAAGGGTGGCTAGGTGGCTGTTGGCACAGGAGCCTGGGCTGCAGATCAGAAACACCGGTGTCTCTGTTGAATTTCTCTGTTGAAGCCAGTCTGAACGCCAGCTGGATCGGAGGACAGCTGTGAGGATGTGAAAGCATCCTTCGGACGCCATCTGTAGTGCTGGAACAACCATTTCACCTGGCGGGAATATGCGTATATTGAGTTAGGCACCTGGTAACCAGGAAACTGACATGGAACCTGCAAGAGAAGCCTTTGCCCACCTCTGAACTTGTTCTAGCTTTTCTGGCCATAAGCATGGTGTTAAACTCACTGCAGGTTCAGTGCTCTCTGTTCTTGTGACCTTTTGGGAAGAGATGCAACTTACTTTATATCCCTTCCGTAATAAACACTATCAAGTTATACACTGGGGCCACTGGATGCTCTCCCTTATTGAAATTACAAAGTAAGCTTGAAGGGAACCCTGGAACAAACTATCTGTAGTGAAAGTCTAGTTTTATTTTTCCCCCCCCAATCCATTGTAAAACAATACTTTTGTCAAATACAACAAAAACAAATTACTAGAAAATTAAGAGAAAAATAAATTCAAGCCAAACTTTTAGATTAAAAAAAAAAAAAATTCAAATGACTCTAGAATTTGCTATAAAATTGCTAAATACTTTTTCTCATTTCTGTGCTTACTGTGACCCAGACTTGCACTAGACTGCAGACCACAGGTTGAGTTTTATAAGATGTAGGGAATAATTTCTGATGGATTTGCAACCTTAGATAGAAAATATAAGCAAGTTTATTAGGGCATAAACTTTGGAAATAAGGCCATATACTAATTTGCTTATCTGTGTTTATATTTTAAGGAGCTAAAGGGTATAGCAATGTTCAAGACAAAGTCCATTTTCTCAGGATGTGAGGTAGGAATAGAAAAAAAAATAAATGCTAAGAAATTATTTATAGTAATAAATAATAGAAATAAAAAGAATACTGAGATAGAAGATGGGAGGGGAATGGGGCTATTTTAATATTCTAGTTCCAGAAGTCTCCCTGAGAAGTTACTTAGGCACATATATCCCAGATGATAAGGAGGCAGATATTCAGAGATCTGCATGAAGAACACTCTGGGCATAGAACAGCAAGTGCCAAGGCCCTGCGGTAGAGGTGTCCTCCACACATTCAATGACAGAAAAGAGCTAAGAAGGTCTGCAGAGAGCAATACTGAAAGTAAGTTGATGCGGCCAAAGTCATCTTTGCGCTTCATGTCATTTGATGATGGACAAAAGAAGAATAAATTAAGGAAGTGTAGATAAGTAGAATGGTTACATGGGCAGCCTGAAAGTGAAATTGTGGGAACAGGTGAGTTGGGTTGCAACAGAGTAACATGCAAGACCCAGGAAAATTAGGGATCTCATTTATGCCTAAGCCCATAGCCCTGCTATGTGGAGAGGAAGGCAAGAGGGGCCTTTTCCTTTATGGAAAAGTTGGTTGATGAGGAGCCTGGGAGAGATGGGTTTTGGAGAGCGGGGCCTGGCCTCATGGACAGGCAACAAGGAAGGCTTTACAGGGAATTTTGGAGAGAGTTTTCAACAGTGATTGGTACCTGAAGCAGGGATATAGAAACAGCCTTTGAATGGACTTTGTCACATATAACTCAACAAGCACTCTGAAATTTGACATTAATGCCACTTTGGAATTTCAACACAGAGCGTAGGACATTCATGTTTATTCATGTTTGAACAACTGACTTCCTGTAGTAGGAAAAGGAGTTCTTTGAATAGTATGGGTTTTAGGGCTACGAATACCCGTCTTTACATCCTCATCTTGTTATTTCAGTGGTGGAAAGGTGGAGATAGGCTGGTGTCCTTACCTACGTGATTTAAAACCTTCTCTTCTGAATGCTGCACTTGCTGTGATACTTTCCGTTCGGCTTGCCATCCACCCGACTCTCTTTCCCGTGATGTAAAGGACATTTTTATTTTTAAAGTGATGTTAGACACAAGAAGGTTTTTAATAGAGGCGACAGCCTGAAATGATTCATTTTAGGAAAAATATAATACCACTGTGTATAATATACCCCAGCTATACCTGGAGTTACATTTAAAGCAGATTAATCCCTGGGTTAAAAAAACATAATTCGGAGTCACCTAACTCCCAAGGTCACCTGGAGTTTATGCTTAAAGGGAAAAAAGGAAGAGATGCGCATGCACCCACATTTCAGTTTCGCTGTTTATTTTCCCACGCGTGGAAAACCAGGCTGAGTTTATACACTTTGCAGTACCCACATAGTTTTAAAAGCACCAGTTCTTCTTGAGATTGGACTTTTTCCCACCTTGTGAAGATGCAGGCTCAAATGAAGCCAGAGTGGAAAATCCCACTTTAATTGACTTAGGCTCTTAAAAAAATAAAAACATACACAATTTTTGTGTGGTAACCTAAGAATAATATACTCACAAGCTTTTAGAGATAAAAGGGCACAAATATAATTTTGACCCCTCACTTCTTTAACAACAGAGGAAGTGGGAGTGATACCACTTGTCCACGGTCACACAGGTGGGTACGAGCAGAGCCAAGACGGGGTCTGGGACTAGTTGCGTGATTTTTAGTTCAGTGCACTTTCTCCTTTTATGTGACTCCTTACCCTTTGAGTATCCCAGATGCTGGAACCACATCCGAAAGTAGCGTGTTTTCTTCTCATATTAAATTTTGGGGGTAGATACTATTTCAGTGACGGATTGGAATTGAGACATGTCTTGCATTTGTTGTGTTTTGTGTGGTTGGCATTTAGGTTTCCCCAGGACACTAGTCCAGGCTGAGGCCCTGGACAGAATCTGTGACCTGGATCTAGTGATCACTTTGAACATTCCCTTTGAAACACTCAAAGATCGTCTCAGCCGGCGCTGGATTCACCCTGCGAGCGGAAGGGTGTATAACCTGGACTTCAATCCGCCTCAAGTTCATGTAAGCATATACAACGCGCTCTCACACACTGACAAGGAACGTGGGTAAAAGATATGAAGAGACTGTTCAAAAATGAACAAATATACACAAGCCAACAAATGTTTAAAATGCTCCTTCACTGGTGGTTAAGGAATGTAAACATAGATTGCTGAATGGAATGTTGGGAAAATGGTGCTCTCATCTTTATTAAGTATATGAAATATTAATAGTCTTTAAGAAAGCAACCTAATAGTGACCATTAAGGGTGCCCTCCTAGCTCCTGGATGGAGGTTCAGTCAGGCTCCATGAGTTTTGCTCATCTGTGTTGAGCACCAGCCTCTTTTTGAGGTCTTCTTTTTCAAATGGAAGTAGTTCTGGAATTCCTTTATTCGGTCTTTCTCCCCAAGAAGCTAGTGGGGATGGGGGTGGGGGAGGGAAGAGGGTTCTGAGTATGCACTGAAGTCCAGTACAAATGCTTCCCAGTTTGCCCCGCCCAGACCTGCTTTTGCAGAGATTCTCATACCATTTGAGAAGCTTCAACACTGACTCGCTTTCCAAAGACTGGGTTTCCCGACAGGAACACCTGCAGTTACAATACTGCTTCCAGAGACAGCAGGGGAAGTGCTTGTCCGGGCCAGCTCCGCCAGCGGCTGTGGCCCAGCCCCCCAGGGGCACGGGGCTGTCGCCTGGCATCCTTCTGCTCTTTCTGGAAGCCGCTGTGCTCGCTGGTGCTCTGAAGTCCTGGAAATGGGACAAAAGGAAGATAAACGAGACGGGAATGAATATAGGTGATGTGCAGCCTCCCCATCCCGGTCGCTCCTGTTGTGTCAGGGTCATGACCATGGGGTGCACACGTGGTAATTATGTGATTGTGAGTAAATCATCAGTGTCAGCTATGGGCCCAAGACCCTGAGCTGTAATGGGATTTTAGTGCTTTTCAAATTTACAGCCAGTTTCTGATTATCCCGTTGAGTTGCCTGAGCATTTTGGTTGTGCTCTAGCCTGCCTTTGGACAGATTTACTTCTTTTGACCATCTCCCCTGGTGAATAATAGCCATGGACTTGGGAGGCAGAGTTCTGATGTGTCGAATTTGCTATTTCTAAGTATGGCTCCCGACAAGGTTAGAATACATTTAAAAATCAAGGTTTTTTTTTAATTGCCATTTTTCAGTTCCCAGAGTGCTTGTTCCTGATTACCATGGGTGTGTGATTCATGCCTATTTTAATTTACCTTTAGATAAGTCATTATTTGACTTAGGAAAATAACCTGAGTAAGATTACTCCTCAAAAAGCTACACGATAGAATTTGAACATTAGCTGAGACAGGATGGAAATACCTTCTCCTCGACGAGGGTTTTTCATAAGCAAACCAGTGGTTCCTTGAAACATTTTATTTTCTAACTCGGACTTTGGAAAGCAGGTTTGTTTTTGGAATGTTTAGGGGGCCAGAGTAGCATTGTTCAAAGCTTGCTTGTTGGCGGAGGGAGGCGGCGTGGAAATTTAAACTGAATTAAAGGTATCATTTATCACCAGCACAGGAACATGTTTGGAAAGATCTGAGAAGTTAATAAAGATTTAATGTCAGCTCTCATGAAGTAAGGTTGACATGCTGTTAAGAGTGCTGTTTCTTTTCAAGTACCTTTACCATTACCTTTGTTACCCAGGCCTGATGGATTATGTGGGAGGAATCAAAGGGGGATACGTGGTTTTGCCAGGAAAGTTTTTACCTGGGGTTTCTCTGGTATTTGTAGGGGGTTGATGACGTCACTGGTGAACCGTTGGCCCAGCAGGAGGACGATAAACCAGAAGCAGTTGCTGCCAGGCTAAGACAGTACAAGGATGTGGCGAAGCCAGTCATTGAACTGTACAAGTGAGTGCGCGTCCGTGTTTCAGTGGCCGTGGGCCAACGGGAAAGACGTGGAGCCTCGTGGGAAGGGCCTTGGGGTGATGTCTCTTTCAGCAAGATAAACCCTACAAGGCCAACACATCTCCACATGTCAGATGAAGTGCTGGAGTTGTTTGTGAGAGATAAAGCCCAGTAAAAGCTCTGCAACCTGACTGTCCCTGTCTGGTTGTAAATTTCATCTAGACCTCTATTCTTTTTTTTTTTTCTTTTATCCTCACCTGAGGACATTTTTCCATATTTTGTTATTGTTGTTCAGATATAGTAGGAGGGAGAGAGAGGGAGAGAGGGAGAGAGAGAGAGAGAGAGAGAGAGAGAGAGAGAGAGAGAGGAGAGAGAGAGAAACATTGACGTGAAAGGGACACATCGAGTGGCTGCCACCCGCATGACCCAACCAGGGCCAGGGACAAACTGCAGTAGAGGTATGTGCCCTTAGCGGGAACCGAACCCGGGTCTCTCTGGACCACTGGCCGATGCTCTAACCGCTGAGCCAAATTGGCCAGGGCTTCATTTTTTTTTTTTTAAATGGCCGAAATAATGTTTTACATTTTGACACCACCACACATAAATATCATATTTGGCTAAAAGATTCGATGTGTGGCCTAGATGTGTCTGGAGGGAGTTTAACAAAGAAAAGCTAAAACTACGTTGCAGATTGCAAATTCAAATGGCTGCAGGGGCCAGGCAGGTACTGGAAATGAGTGTCAAGCCTTGGGGTGGGGGCAGGTGCAAGGGCAGTTGGGTGACAGTTGAATGTACAGCTTCTAGGCAGCTCCAGCCAATTATCACCACAGGGGTCCTCAGGCTCAGTGTGACCAATGATCCCTGTTTTTTCAAGAGAAGCAGAAATCTGGCTCTTTGTGTGGAAAAAAAAAATCCAATTTTTATATTAGTGACAAATTTAAAAAATGTTAATAGCATGTAGGCCAAATGAACCCACACAGGCACCTGCACTCAGGACAGCAGTTCACAGCCTCCGCTGTAACCCGTTCCTGACCTTGCAGCCTCCAAATAATTTAGCCAGCCGATCAGATTATTATGATTCATTTTGCAATTTTATGATCATGGTCATGATTTAGGTTTTAGAACACCAAATTTTGTCAGTGATTCGCTTTTCAGAAGTGTGTAGTGAGGCAGATTTGGGATTGTCCTCAAAGAGTAATGTTATTCTTTGATATGTTTTTTATCCTCACCCGAGGACATTTTTCCATTTTTTGTTCAGGTAGAGTGGGAGGGAGAGAGAGGAAGAGAGAGAGAAACATCGATGTGAAAGGGACACATCGAATGGCTGCCACCCACACAACCAACCAGGGCCGGGGACAAACTGCAACCGAGGTACATGCCCTTAGCGGGAACCGAACCCGGGTCTCTCGGGACCGCAGGCCAATGCTCTAACCACTGAGCCAAACTGGCCAGGGTGTTCTTTGATATGTTTTAAAGGGAGAAGAAAGATGGCATCGTGGCAAGTCAGCCAGAATTGCAGAAGCCATGGCCTCCTTTAGATACGCCTGTTGCGGGTGGTGATACGTTTGAAGGGGCCGTTCAGGCACTTAGCAGTGTGTGGTGTAGACTACAAGACTGAGCTTGCATTTTACCTGGGACTCTCATGTTATCGGCTCTCATGTTATGTTAAAAGGAAGCTAAAATGCCTTGTGTGCTGGGCTTTGTTTTTCAGGAGCCGAGGAGTGCTCCACCAGTTTTCTGGAACGGAGACTAACAAGATCTGGCCCTATGTTTACACGCTGTTCTCGAACAAGATCACACCTATTCAGTCCAAAGAAGCATACTGAGCCGGCCGGGAAGAACCAGGAAGACGTGGTCGCTCTTTCCATTGTCTGTGTAGTATTGGTGCCGTGTCCCAAGTAGGAGCTAGCTGAGATAGCTTGCCGTGTCTTTTCTAGTTTAAGTGGGGGACTGACTGAAAACTGATGCGTGAACGGAGTTCATGAAGAGGCTCCTGTCTGCCTTTGGAGAGAAGGGTCACCTCCAAGGACTGAAGATGTCTCTGCACCGTTGTCCAGCCCTTCACCAGAAAGCGAGTACAGACTGGATCTCCAACGATGTAAACCCAAGCTCTAGCTGATTTCTGACAATGATGTTGCCATAGTGGTATCTCTCACCCGTAATGGTGGAGGTCTCTGGTTCTCCCACCCCCTAAAGGCCATTGAACCATAGCACCTGTAGGCCTGACAGGGCCAAGGGCTGTAGCCCGAGCTTTGTTTCACGGCCTCTGGTGTGTGCCCCCTGGAGACAGTGAGGTTGAAGCCATTGGCTCTCAGTGGTTGCTTCTCTGACTTCCGGTGACTGAATCCACAATGTTCTTTGGTTGGGAGAGATATTCTTGTCTGCATCCATGCTCCATAGAATCTCTCCTTTTCGGATATCCCGGAATGAAAGGATTTGGCTTCTGCTATTTTTATTAGACTGTGGTTTTTTTTTTTTACATCTGTTTCGTCCCCTCCCTTTCTCCCAACAGATGCTTACTGCTTTTATCCCTCTGAACTGTCTAAGAGCTGAGACTAAGGGGTGATGTCAGATCGCTTCATGTACCAGGAACTGAGCTCTTGGAGGCTCTCCTTCAACTGCTGGTCTGACTCTCATGGGTGGACATCGTTCCTTTCGTTTTCTGTGGAAAAATAAAATTCTCAAAAAGTAAGAAATATTCACCTACATAAATGTTGAGAGATCATATCTTATGTATAGCTGTAATAAGACCCTATGGAATTACTGGACTAAAGGAATAGTTTACTTTTTATTCAAGATAAAAAAAAATGTATTTTGAAAATGCTGCTAAATGTTGATGCTGATAGTGTTTTTCTCCTGTGAGTGACCCAAGCGTATTATAGACGGTGGGTAAAGGGAAGGGAGCCTGTGGGGTTGTGGGAACAGGCTGCGCCGGCCGTGCCTACACTGTGTGTGACAGCTTTACAATGATGAGCAAACAAAATCTGAGTTTTTCTTCTAGTCCAAAGATTCTATAGGGTGGCCATAAAGTCTAAAAATACAGATAGTACTGTTTTGTCATTCATCGTAATATAATATCAATACATCATTTATTAAGGACTTGCTTGCTTTCCAGACTTGGTGGCCACCTTGTATAATTAATTCTCGCTCTCCTCTGGGATGGGCAATGAAATGTATTCCTGTTGCCTTAAAAATAAATACCCCTCTTCATGCATTGTGATTGTCCCCAGCGAGGGTCCTTTACTGTTCCTGGGAGTGACTTCAGTGCAATCACTGCCTTTGGAGTTTTGGGGGGAGGTATAGGGAAAGGGAAGTGGCCTGATCCCCGAGGCCACACTCTATGCCTCCATCCTTCACTCTCTTCTCCCTCCCAGCAAGATCCACGGCCACAGCCAGTGCCAGGCCACAGCGTGTCTCGCAGTGTTTGCTCTTTCTGAGACTGCACAACACCTGGGGGCCCTCGGCTGGGTGAGACCAACAAAGGACAAACACCTTTTCCATGGCCTTTGACAGACGATGCTTGTTGCACGTTCAGTGGCCGAAAATATATATATTTCTGGTTTTCTTCAACAAACCCCTTCGGTGATTTTGTAAAAAAGTTAAAATTTTTTTGGAAAATATTTTGAGGAAAGTGAAATTCAAGAGACAGCTTTTCCTGGTTTTCATTCCACTGCCCCCCCGCACCCCACACACGGTTCCTTGGCTGCTCCACAGGCATAGTCTGGACGGTCTCTAAGGTTCCGGCTTGTCCTCACGTGCTGGAGTTCCAACCAGCTCCGAATTCACTCTGCTCCCCATTATCCTGGCAGGCTGCCTACTTCTTGAGAACTACAAAATGTCGCTGTGTTTACCTTTACCATGAATGCAAACATCAAATAGGTACCATTTATTGAAGGCCTACTGAGTGATAGGTTCAGTTTTAGGACCTGTATCATGACAGGGTGGGACACAAGTAGGTTTCCAGTTCATATGGGAAATAATAAAATAATTAATAGATAATGATACAAGAATAAAATATGTGTTGTGGACTCACCCCTGTCAACCTGCCTTTGCCCCGCCCGTGTTCCGTCTTTCAAGCATCCTATGTGATAGGCACCACCCCACAGTTATAAAAGAAGGTCAGACAGGTGAAATGCGCTGGCCCAGCTCCTGCTGCCAATAAACAGCATAGCCAGGACTCACTCGGGTTTCCTGACTCTGCAGCCTGAGTTTGCTCTTGGATGCTAACTACCTGTGTGCTGTCCCAAGCAACCCAGGCGAGAGCTTGCTTGGTTTTGCTTGTATTTAAGAGTGGCCTCACATCAAAATAGAGTTTCCTATGGTGACACTCTTCTTCTTTGTCCCATTGCTTAAGCAAAGGAAGCTGCTAGAGGACAGTCTGAGCCCTGATCCTCCTCCGTAACTACTCATTTATAAACAACACGAAAGGCTGTCAAAGTAGGCTGGCTGGCGTCCAGGCTAATCAACGGAGAAGGCGAGCTCATGTCCCTCACCAGCCTTTTGTGTCCATTGTTTTGTGCCCTCAGCCATGGTGCTCACACATAGGTCTGGGCTCCTGGGAGCTCTCCAGATACTACTCACTTTTCTTTCCTGAGATCAGAACAAATAACTTCCTCGCTGCCACCCCAGGCAAGGCCCTGCTAATAAACTGATCCTGAAGTTCTGGCAGGTGAACCAGTGGTGACTGTGTGCCCAGCCCAGGGTAGCCCTGACTTTATACTATTTCCCTGTATTCCCTCCCACCCTGACATGCTTCTGATGGCCGAATTCACACCTTTGCCTGCCATCTGAGGTGGTGGCAAAACGGGGGAGATCGGCTTCCTGTCTACCCCGCTTCCCCGGGGTCACTTCCCATCAGCCTCCAGGAGACATGCTCAGATGAGCTCCAGCTTCAGCCAGGGTCTGCCCCCCAATTTGGAAGGGGAGGGAAAGGAAGGAATAGTGATGGGTGAGAGGTGCTGCTGCGGCTTTTCGTGCCACTTAAAATGTTGAGACAGGATAATGTTAGACAGAAAGATGCCTGCGCAGACCCATACGTAGGGCTTTTATAAAATTTAATTCACTGGAACCCGAGTTCAGTATTTGACTTTCGCTGTCTGTCTAAACAGTTGACCAGCCTGCTGCGCGTCTTTGCTCCCATCATAAAGACCACACCTTCGCGAATGTTCCGTGGCATGGGCATCCTTAGCAGCTGCTGGTTACTGCTACTTCATGCTAAGTGCATTACATGCATTGTCTAATTAAATCCTTAACACTTACCCTAAATAATAGATATTATTTCAATGATCCTGCCTCCTTGTATTTAAAAACGGAAATAAGCCTGTTTATGTCCATTTGTGTTTTCATGTTCCTAGAGGGATTAATCAGGAAATTCAACAGGGCCTCTTTGGTACCTTTCCATTCTCATTAATAGGCAAAACAATGTATTTGCTCCCGCCTGGAATCTTTGTTTTTGGCGCTCTGGTACTGAGACAGGAAATGGGCACTCAGTGGGTCCTGGTGGTAGTGTACACTGAATATGCAGAGGGCACACGTCTCATCTGTACTCTGCCTGGGTTACAGGATCTCGGGAGGCATCCCTGTCTACCTGATGAACTTTGTTTATTACCTTTCATTTAACAGTGTCTTTTCTTGCTGCAGTTAATTTTGCCAGAGGCCATTCATAATGCAGAGTTGGGAAAAAAAAAAGAACATGAACATGGAGTCATGTTCACAGTGTGAATTGCTTCTCTCTTCCCCTCCATTTTTAGTAACTCCTTTGTGTATTTGGTGTTTCAAAAGAAGAATGTGGTCTGGTCCTAGGTTATCATCCTTTCTGAATGTAACTGACTCATTCTGGTTCCCAGAGGAGAAGTGTGCAAGCCCCAGCTGTCGGGAAACCATGAAGCCGTACTTCAGCTGTGAAGAAAAATCTGCTTCCTGCATCTGTTGAGATGTATTATAATTACAATTGTTTATTAAATGCCATACCTTATCTTCCTTTTAATAAATTGCACAGTTCTTGCCAAAAATAAATGCCATTATCTGTATGTTTCAGGGAACCCCTGATTTAATTAGTGTGTGTGTGAGAGAGAAAGAGATAGATGGTAAAACATTCCCAAAGGGAGAAAGCTCTCGTGGCATGGATATTCCTTCCTTGGTGATACTTAGGCTGTGCCAGGAAGTTCAGTATCTTGGAAATAAAAACTTCCTGTTTAAAACTTATCACAGGAGCTGTGCACCTAGAAGATTCTCTCTGGCATTAGTGGTGTGTCTAACTCCATTTCATTGAAACTTTTTTCCCTGTACTTTAAAGCTTTGGCTACTACGTCAGAAATGTACTAATAAAAACAAACTGATTTGTGTTTTATTTAAGAGACCAGGAAAGAAAAACGAAAACTCAGTCTTAATGTAAGCTCCAAGGTGTCAGGGTTTAGAGGGCTTTTCTAGTTTTATGAGAATTTGTACTACTGATTTTTATATACTCTTGTTTTCGAGATGAACAGATCTCTGGGGGGAAATTGCTGAGTTCCGATGGCAGTTCACTGTGAACCCTCTCAAGCTTACATCAGTTTTTTAGCCTATTGACTTGTCTGTTCGGTTTACTGTCCTGTGAAACGTCAGCTCCGAGTCCCCAGAAGTCACGTGTTTACGATAAGTCAGCGTTTTCCCTCCGCGGGAAGGCCCTCGGCCCCCTTGACTTGGGTGTATGTGCTTAATTCAAAGTATCTAAACCTAATCTGTAAGTGTCCTAACTGTTAATTGTATTGATTATTTTGATTATCTTGCTTGAAGCTTATTCCTACTTTTTGATTTGACAGAAATAAAGTTTTTTCTGCTTCTAACTAGTGAATTCATTTAACACTGGTATAGCTTTTCACACTTGACACTACATGTCTTCACGGATATTCTCATTGTGCCACTCTAGCCACTCCATTACCAAAGTGTTTCATCTCCAAAGTACGGACGGGGAAGTAGAGAACGCAGTGTTGCCTGGGTAGGTTAGTGGCAGAGCAACATCCTGAACCGAGATAGGATCCCCAGTCTCCTTGTTTTTTTCTACTGCATCATGTTGCCTCATTTTGTATACCCTCAAGTACCTTATTTGTCCAGCACCTTATTTTTCACATGTATTCAGGGACATTCTTTCATTTTATTTGTGAAACAACTGGGTGATGTGAGCAGATCCCATCCTACTCAGATCCCATCCTATAGATTAGGAGACTGGATCAAAGTACACGACTCAGTCCACAGCGCCCGGGTGCTCAGCAGAAGCGGAAACCTCGGCAGGCCCGCCTGGTGATGGTTGAAGCCATGGAGGAAATACAGCCTCTGCAGGAGGAGCCCCGGCGCTGGGAGGCAGCCAAATGCCCTGGCTTCTCCCAGCCTCACACTGGCCTGTCTGCTGGGAGGGCTTCCCATTAGCAGAAGCCAGCTGACAGAGAAACCTGAGAAATGTGTTCTGCAGGTTCCATGGCCCGAGGATGGCGAACTGGATGTGATGGCAGAGTGGTAAATTGTATTCAAATGCAAGCTATTCACCTTTTAAGAGGATTTTGCATCTCTGCCCCATTGGCTTCATGCTGGTGCATATGATTTGCGTTAGCCAATGGAATATGAGCAGAAATGAAGTGTGCCACTCAGAGCAGGAGCCTAAATGCATCAGGAGCCAGAACATAGACACCAGCCTCATGCTGCAGCGAGACTGGCAGTCCCACGGGGCTTTTCTATCAACCTGGGTCCTAAAGTGAAGACATGGAGGCGGGATGCAGCCAATCCATGATGCAAAAATAAACCTTTCCTTGTATCAGCCACTGAGATTTGGTACCACAGCATAATTTAGCCCAAGCTGACGGGTCAAAATGGATTTAGTATATGTCAAGCATCCAGTTAGAACTTTCTTTATTGAGCACTATTAGGCTCTGGGGATGCAAAGATGAGTGAGACCCAGTTCTTGCCCTTCCTCTTGGAGGGAACGAACATATGATTATATAACTCTACACATAACTGTTGGAATTAATCACTGGATTACACTTGAGAGAACACAGGAGTGACACTTGGCTGGCCAGGTAGAGACCAAGGAAGAGCTCGTTGAGCTTGGCGATGCAGGAAAGGGAGCCCGAGCAGAGGGAAAGGTATGTGTACGCCGGGAGGCGGGACGGGGAGATAAAGATAAGATTGAGTTGGATTGGGAAGCTGTGTGGACCTAGTCTTTACTGTTCACAGTCCAGTCCAGTCTATGCCAGAAAGGGATTTACTCAGCAGGCTTACATGATAACATCGGAATTGTACTTGAGGTCTGGACTAGGATGTGGAAGTAGAATTCAACCAAAAAGGATGGTTGGAACAGGAGTCAAAAGAGTCAAATACCTCTGGGGGAGAAGTCAGGACCGAAAATGAGTGAAACGCGAGTGTGAGGCCGTAGAGAGGGGCAGGGCTGTGAGGAACTTCTCTCTAACCGGGAGTCACGGCTCAGCCCAGCAGAAAGTCACTGCCTCAGGAATGCTGCCCAGTCATTCCACTTGTGGAAAGAAACCAGAAATATTTTCTTGTGTGAAATCTTACATTTAAATGTTTGCAATGTAAATTTT